AACATTCAGGTACGATTGAAAAGTTCATCTGTGTTGAAGAATGTTCATCCATTGGGTTATCCCCCACCAAAGGTTTCTTATCTGTTAGAAATCAGAGTTTTAGCCTTAGGATTAGGAATTAAATAATTAACAAGTTATTAAAAACTTACTCTTAGGCCGTTTCTTCTTCTCCCAATGGCTTTTCAGTCTTGCATTTGATATGTCTTTAGGTCTACGCTTTAGAGGATCTTTCAAATTAGCAGTTCCACCTTGGGAACTAGCAACATCCTTCTGATTTCTTTTCTTGCCACCAAGAATTAAGTATAATTTTTGATACATGTCTTGCAATGAGGAAAGAATAAACTCCTCTACCTCCTCATTCCCTTGAGCTTCTGTGCTCATTTTATATGCAAACCTGCTCACTTGATTTCTGAATATGAATCCCCTACCACTTTGGAAATTATTACTTCTTTGAGAATTAAGCAAGTAACCTGAATAAAAAACTTGTCGAGCCCTTGCTGACCAACGAAGTAATAAGTACTTCTCAGGGAATTTAGTCATATCCAACTGTTTAAAAACCCTCAAACAATGAGAACACAGCAATCCCATGGTTTCATACTTCTTACAGCTGCATTGAATGTGACCTTCTGTTGCATCAAAGTATACAACCCAAGGATGGTTTTGATTATTTTTCTCTATGTAGTTGACTAGAAACTTTGAAGAATCAGTCGAGATAAAATATATACTTATTTCTCCCACAGCCTTTATAAATTATTCCTCAAAAATTGAATATATTTTCCTTGAGTAAAATCTAGCAGTTTGTTTTAATATTAAGTTATTCTTTATCACGGGAACAATTTCAGATTGACTGCATTTGTAATCCTCATCCTGCTCATTTTACCGCCAATTCATCAGTACCTTTTCCAACCCAAGAAAACAATCAGTTAATAAACTTGTTGGCTTAGAAATATCATGACACACATTATTAGTACACTCACTAGGCTGAGTTGATAAAATGCCCATGCAAAAACAATCCTTATTAAAAGCAGTTGACCACTTTCTCCTTATCTTATAAAGATCCTGCAACCATTCATGGTTATGAATATTCTCTTCCTTGATCATTTCATCCCATACTTCCTCAAACACTTCCTCAGAATCACACCACCTCATACACTTATAGAAGAGTCCTCTAACTTTATTATTGCTATTGTAGATGGAAACTTTTGATGGAACCTTTTTAAAGATGTGCCACTGGCATAATCTATGATAAGTGTGAGGTAATGCAACTTTTATGGCCCTGGTCATAGCTTGGTCCTGATCAGTCAATATTGTTATTGGATATTTATTACCCATTATTTGCACAAATATTTTAAACAACAATATAAAACTTTTAATTGTTTCTTCTGACAAAAAAATAATCCCAAACAAAATATTCTGCCAATGATTGTTAATACCAACAAATGGCGCACAAACAAAAATATACTTGTTCAGCCTGTAACTAGTATCAAAAATTAACACATCTCCAAAACATTCATAATCTATCCTGCTTCTGCCATCAACCCAGAAAAAAATTTAACAATCTATCCTGATCATCATATTGAACATCCCATGTGAACATGTGGTCATCAACTTGTCAATCTTTAAATAATTGAATCAAAGAATTAGTGTCACCAATTTTAATCCTTACTCTTTTCTCATTCTGAATAAAATTGTAGGCATCCCTCTTAGAGAATCTGACATTCTCACATCCACCAACTTCCTCTGTAAGGTAGGCATATGCATCAACAGTTCTAATCCCTGCATCTGTCATCGATTTTAGGACGGAAGCTTTTCCTCAACAACATTCCTACATGATCTCAAAAGGTGTCGGTCGGCTGGTCTAGCTAAATCATGGTTGTGGGATTCAATAAATCTTTTGACATGCTAGTAACCATCTTCATCTTTGACAAACCTCACCATGGCAGGACAACCAGTTCGGACATCTAGTTTAGTGAATCTCTTTCTTGAATTAAGATCATTACTTTTCTTGAAACTAACTTTTGAACAAACAAAGTCCTTCGATTTTATCTTCCTAGAATTTGGTCAAAAACTGTGATGATCCTTTCGGACGCTAAAGCTATTATCGTGAGCATAAGTGGTAAAACAATCATATGCTTCAGTCTCATTTTTATAAACAGCCTGAAATATTAAATAAAAGAGCAAGTAAAATAAAGCGCAAGTAAAATAAAGCGCAAGTAAAGCGCAAGTAAAGCGCAACTAATGCGCAACTAAAGCGTAACTAAAATGCAACTAAAGCGCAACTAAAGAGCAACTAAAGCGCAACTAAAGCACAACTAAAAGAAAAAAAAAGCGCAACAAAAGCACAACAAAATATCAAAACAAGTTCTATTTTTTTTATTTATCATCTTCATCCTAAAATCGATAATGAAAGCTAAGCAACAACATTAGAGTTTTTTTTTACTTTTTCTACAAAAAAAAATTATTATGCCAGAAAATCGCAAAATCTATGATCCTAAGACTCTAATGAGCTGAAACCTACGCCTTTTTCTGCTGTGATGAGATTCAAACTCTGTTTACAACTTTCTAACTCATTTTTCCAAGAAACTTACCGATCTGTTGAAACCAGAGGAATTTCCTGCTAAGTTAGGTTCCAATTCTGATTCATGCACCAGCCCTTTCGATTCATGCACTCCCTCTTCCATGCCCTCTTCCACCTCCCTCTTCGCTGAGCAGTCTATTTCTTCTCTGCAATTTTTTGGCTCATTTTTTCTTCTACACCAGTAGATATTTACGTCTTTTTTTTAGGGTATCAAATTGGAAAAAAAGGGCGGCAAATGCTTAAAAGTTAAAATGAACTGAGTTATCGGGTCGGGTCGCTCACTCTGACAAGACATAAAGAAAATATATTAAATTAAAAAAATGCCTAACAGATGTTGCATTTCTATTGGCGACAGAACGCAGAGATGGGTTCGATCACCTGACCCAATAATTTGCCCATGGGGGCACGGGCCCCCACTGGCCAGTTAATTAGTATCTAATTAAGACTAGTTACTATTTCTAAAAAATGGCTTAGGATAATCCTTCATTAAAAAGAAAAAGATATGCCTTCTTACGCTCACTTGTGATTCTCCTCAAACACACAACTCTCCATGGCCTATTGGTTGAGAGCTTAGGCTTCCAATTAAGAGGTCCAAGGTTCGAGTCTATGTGTATGCGTTGTGTGTGTGAGTTTGCCTTAAATGGCCTAAATGTCCCAAAAAAAAAAAATTCTCCTCAAACCTCACTTTTTTCAATCAAGTTCTCTCTCTCCAAAAAGAGAAGATTCTATTATTTTTCTTAAAAAAAAAATCATTATGTTTTCTCTGTCATTTATCTATTCCCAAGAATAAAAATGAATGGCTACAGACTGTAGCCATTTGATTATTTGCTCATCTTCAATTTCTAAATTACATGTTTAATTTTTATCTATAAAAAATTATTACGTAGATTTACTAATATTAAAAGAAATTAAAGAGTTGCTAGGTAGGGGTTGGAATGGATGTGTAATAGCATTAGAAGAAATACTTTTTGTTTGATACAACATTGTGAATCGTTAGTTAAAAAAGGTTTAGATAGTTTTCATATGGGATATAGTCTTGCTATATCTGAGATAAAAATTTAAATTTAAGATCTTTTAAAGGTTTACTAATATTAAATAATTATTCTTTATTTAATTTGTAACTAAATGTGCTTGTAACAAAATTTATTTTCTACTTTTTGTTAATATTTTTAAATTATTTTTTCGGATTATCACAGTTTCTTTACTTCAATAAATTAGAGTGGTACAAATTCCCGATAAGATTTGAAAGTTTTGAGATAAGTAACTTAAGATCAGTAGCGGAGTTAGGATTTTTTCAATACAAGTTAAGACTTTATGTTCTTTTTTACACTTTATAATATCTTTCAATATTATAATTTTACTAATTAAATTTTCATTCAACTTAAATGAAGACTCGGCGTGAAAAATTATAGATAATATGTAAGAAAAATATCATGATTTAAAGTTCTCGATTGTAATTTTTTTATTTTATCATATATTCAATCATTTTATGTTGAGTCTGATGATTTAAAAAAAAAAATTAAAATCAACTATGGCGGTCCTAACCCCGGATGAAAAGATTGAGGGTTTTTTTAATTCAATAATTTGTACCCCACATGAAAAAATTTTTGGCTCCACCTCTGCCATTGTGTCGTTAGTCAGTGTGGGCGCGAGAATACTTCGCCAGTCGCGTGAAGCAGATGTTCGTTTGGATCGGTCTATCTGTGTGTTAGGAGGCTAAGAGTAAACGGCGGGAATTGTATAACCCAAAAAATACCCTAAAATCTTCTCTTAATTGTAATTAAGTAGCCAAAAATGAATTTAATTAAATATTAATTATACAGTCAGTGGGGGTCTGTGCCCCCAGGCCCCCTATAGTAAATCCGCCCGTGTTTATACATATAAATAAAGTTTTGTACATTATAAGCTATCTAAAATTAAGTAAATTAAATTCGTGATCTATTTAAATATTAAATTATTATTTGACTTATATAGCATCTCAATTACATTTGTATGAAATTAATTTGTGTAGAGGCCAGGTATTCATTTTATTTTAATAATGGACTGAAATAAAATATTTACAGTTAAAATATAAAAAGGTCGTGGTCCCTAGTTTAAGAGATTAAGTTCTCATTTTTCTCTCATTTCTCATCTTTTGAGTGGAAAAGAAAGGGTCTCTCACTCTCTTGTAGAACGCCGCTTCAAATGTGGAAGACCAAAAACCTCAATTATGCATTTCAATGGATTCAGGTATGCTTTTGAAAATTCTTCTCAATGATTTGACATTTCTTTCGGAGACAATCGAATTACTTTTTTGTTTCCATTAATTCTACAAGATCAATCAGTGCAATTGTGCGTGTATTTTTGTGTTGAGGACATACTCTATATTCTTTGCTCGGATCTTCTCTCGAAAGCTATCAATGAACATAAGGGGCAATTGGGAATGAGAATAGCAACGAATGTTGATAAAGTTACACATTTACTATTCGCAGACGATGTTCTGGTGACTGCTGAAGCTCGTAGTAATAATGTGAGAAGGCTGAAGAAAATTTTCAAAAGCTATTGCAGTTGGACAGGCCAACCTATCAACTCTCAAAAATCCATGGTTTTGTATGGCAGGAAAGTCTCTAAGAAAAGAAGAAGAAAACTGAATAAAATTATGGGATACAAAGAAGTTAAAGAATTCTATTACTTGGGCATTAAATTGGCTGTAAGAAGGATGAAGGTGGAAGACTTCAGTAACACCATTGAAAAAGCAATGTGTAGACTCAATTCTTGGGGAGCTAGGTGCATGGTTATCGCTGGCCGGCAGAATGTTATTGATCAAAACAGCCTACTCAAACATGATTTCCTACCAGGTAGCTCACTCTCTCATTACTAAAAGCATTTTAATGAAAATTGACAAATAATATAAGAATTTTTTGTGGCATAAAGAAAATGGCAAACAAGGTTTGCACTATATTGCTTGGGAGACTCTTTGTCTACCCACGAGTTTGGGGGGATTTGGCATCCATGGCGCTGCAGGGAGACAAGGTCCATTAAGAGCAAGAATTGCTTGGATGTTTTTACAGAACAACAACTCTTTGCTCTACAAAATACTGTACAAAAAATTTGGTAAAAAGATATGGGATAATGACGTGAAGAGAGGAGCTACAACCGCCTGGAAAATTATCAAAGATGGTATTAACTACATAAGACCAATTGTTAGATTGCAGGTAAATAATGGTAGCAGTATTAATATAAATACTGACAAATGGAAATTGGATAGATGCCTAAGTAAATGGCCTGCTACGTGCAATATTAGTGAAATTGCTGAGAAGAAGGTGTCGTTTCTTATGGAGGAGGATGGCAAGTGGAATTTAGAAATTTTATCTGAATTCTTTTTGGCAGATATGATTGAGCTGATTCAACAAATGAAGACAGGGGAGAACAACAGAGAAGATAGTTTGGAATTGATCCGTACCAATACGGGAAAAACTATTGCAGCTCTTTGTGAGGAAGCTAACAATTTGAATAATGACGGTAAATATAGTAAGCATAACTGGTTGAAAAAATTGAAATTGAATCAGCGAGTCTACCTGTTTTGGTTGAGGGCTTTGAATGGGGCATTACCAACTAACAATTGGCTATGTTATAGAAGACTTGCAGTTAATTCTAATTGTCCTAGAGGTTGTAATGAGAATGAAGACTTAGAACATGTGATGATCAAGTGCAATAAAATGGTGGATTTATTGCAGAATTTGAGAGAGTGTGGATTCAATGTCCCCTCTTTCCAAAGTGTTGATAACTGTATAATGAATTTGAGACAGAATCCTGATAAGGGACTGACTAAAATCTTTGCTTTGGCGGTTTACTACAGCTAGAGATCAAGGAATATGGTTAAACATGGCAAATCAGAAATTCCCATTGCTTACAATGCTGCGAAAATCATTTCTCACGCTTCTTACATTCAGTCAAATCCGATCGAGAGGAACTGGAACACTAATCAGCCTATAATGTCAATTTCTTGGTGTCCCCCACCCGAAGGTTGGATGAAACTAAACGTGGATGCGGCTCTTACTGGAAATAATGTGGCGGGTATTGTAGGTGTTCTTAAAGACTGTAAAGGAAGATTGATTTGTGCTTATGGTAGGAAGGTAATTCATTGGGGACATTGCATATATGGAACTCAAAGCTATTCTGTCATTTGAAAGATACATTCAAGATTATTTTTGTGATTACAAAGGAATAATCATTGAAAGAGACAATGTGAATATCATTAGTTTGCTCCAAGATACGATCAACATGAAGACGAATAAAGGTACGAAACCGGACCTTTCATTCTTACAAGTGTTCAACAATGTTATTTTTCTCTTTACTCCTAGATATTGTAATAGCACGGCTGATTTTTGTGCCAAGTATGCTCTGTTAGGAAATTTTTTTGGGATTCTTTTGATGAAACTGAACTTCCGGCAGGTTTTATTAACTTGTTTTGGAAGGACAGCCCATTGTAATCTCTTTTTTGTTCCCGTTTATTCATAGTGCATCCCTTATTCAAAAAAAGAAAAAAAGAGGACATACTCTATATCATGATCTATTATTGCTGCTATAATGAGACAATTATCCAGCAATGGATGATTATCACAACCGTTATATGATAATATGATGACGCCTTGGCTTTACATCATAGTTTTACTCATTCAATTCGTAGATGCTTTTAGTTCATTTGCTTGCTTAAGGTCCTTACAATGTGTGAGCATAATTCATACTGAATGATAGTAATAGGTACCTGTGAAGATTAATGAGAGCTGGATTTCAAACCTTCACATGCCAATATAAGTGAATATAACATACAGAGGCTACTTCTTAAGCTTGGAGATAAGTAATTATAAGATTTTAAAGGTTAAATTAATCTTCTAAGTGCTGAGAGGGCCAAGTGTTAGAATACTTATTCCTGAACAAGTATTCGTTTTTTCTTTTCTTTTTTTTTAGAAGATGCTTATAGCATTAAAAACAAAAAAACTATTACAAACAAAAACAGAAAACTACTTGGCAATCCCTTTCTAACAAAAAATGGAGTTAAAAAGAAAATTAAGCATAATGAAAATATTAGAAAAAATAGGAAATGTAATAATGCAAATAAGACTATCTACTTCTCATTTTAAATCAATTGGAGTGGAGAGGATACCAAAGATAAAACAACCAAAATGGTTGATTACTATCCCAGATTTTCCAAGTAAAAAATAAGAGATAGAAATATGCTTAATTCCCATTACTATAATTCCATTTTTCAAATACCAAACTATGCTTGAAAAAAGTCTCGAACATCAAGTTTTACCAAACAAAGAAAATGAATTGAAATAAAAATAAAACTCTACAGCCAAGCGATGAACTCGGATATGCACAGCTCCACAACCTCTGTTTTTCACAAGCTCCATTATCTTCACACAAACCATAAACCAGCTTTGCAAATCGTCTTCAGTTATCATAAGTTTTCATGGGATAAATGGTGAAGTGACTCCATTGTTTTCACCAAGAATATCAAACTTGCTTCTGTGGACCTCCGAAGGAGCACCGCTCGCGGGGGTTCGAATGCAGAAAGTACAGCCGAACTATCCCGTAGGACAAAACGATCGTAGGCCTCTACGCTCGACACGAGCGGGTCGATGGGAGGGCAGATTGGATCGCGCATACGACTCACCATTGGGGATAGATGCTGTCGCCAGTACACCCCGATGGGTAGCAATATATCAACAGCTTCCTCTAAAACTGCCTTTGATAGGACCAAACAAATTCAAGTCTTTATTCAACTTCTTCTTATGAAGCACCGATTTAGATGGCAAAAGTCACTGAACAAGTATTCAGGAAAAAAAAAGGAATATGTATTCAGTAAACTTAATTTTGTAAAGCAGAGAGCTGAGTGGATTATGCAGAAAATTACAGAGAGCCGAAATAAGATGTAGGAAGTTTTCATTAATTCTCCTTGCCTTTGCCAGCAGTACAGTTAGTGTATTTATAGTTAGCGACGTATGCCTTGTGCTGAACAAAGCTTGCATCTAACGTTTAGAATAAAGATGGTTAGTTTTGTAGCAACGGTTTGGATTTATATCATGGCTGCAGCGGTGTCGGAGAACAGAGAAAGTGGAGATGTATTATACTGCAGAATTTGAAGTGCAATCTAGCTACTTTTATCACCATTACATCAAATCTGAAGGCTAAATATACCTTATTGTTGCATGAATACGTCAAGACAACAGATCAGGCTGATCACAAACTCGTACTTTGGTCTAAAATTAGGTGCTCTCTTTCACATAACCAATAATAAATTTAATATTAAATATTGGGGAAGAAAACCATGTAATGAATGCAAACAACATAGAGACAATGAAGTGAAAAAGAAAGATCTCCAGGATTTAACTTGGAATAACTCAAAATCGTGAAAAAAACTATAGAGCTACACCACATCAAAAATTCATTATAAAAATTCAGGAGAAATAATATAGATCTATCTTCTCTTCTCTCTCACTCTCTCTACATATCTCTTCACTCTTGCAACATTCTCTCTTTCATTTAGATATTCCTCTACTTCGATTTATTTCTAAACAGATTTTTCTGGCTTCAACATTCATGGCAGAATTTGAAGATTCACCTTTCGGCTTCCTGCAAACCTCTTCATTCAACACTAACCCTACTATGTTCTCAAAGTTCAACTTTGAACTCCATGAAAAATTACTCATAGCATTAATCAACTCAACGCAACTTTCTAGTAATGAAGATAACAACAACAATGCTCTCACTTCATAATCAAACTTGATACCAATTGAACACAATTAACACATCACAGTGTTCAGCTTATTTAGGTGTTCTACCATTTAAGTGCTATCTAAAATCTTTATATTGAATAATTTTTTTATCAAGAACACTTTGTTTGATTCTAATAGCTTCTCATACATCTTAGTCAATGCAACTATGTGATCGAGTGTAGTCTTCTCGGTTACAATGTTGAAAGCAACATTTAAGATTGTTCCTCAAAACATGACTACATATAAATATTGGTATATATATTAGATTACTTACTTCAGCTATTGTTTTAGTCACCACAGAAGCTTTGTGCTTTTGTAACGCATTTTTCTAGAGCTTCATGAGGAATAAAAAGAAGTTGATTTGTCAAAATTTGTCTTGATCGGGCATGAATATCAAGGGAAGTATGAGATTAAGGCATCAAAAAATTAAAATTGGAATCATCTGAAAGTGCTCTGATGGCACTAGAAAGTTTGTTAGGTATGTTAAGCCCTTATTAACTGGCCCAAGGCTAATAAAGAGTGAATCAGTATTTAAAACAAACACAATCTTTAATCCAAAAACAAGATTCACCACAATCAAAATCAACGATGCGGAAATTAAATGCGGAAGCAATAATAAGAAAAGAACACACTGGATTTATAGTGGTTCGGTCAAACCTTGACCTACATACACTCCATGGAGGCACCCTCCAAATATTGCACTAAATAAGTGTCTCTCCTTTAACCCCCACAGCTAGGCGGAAAAGCCCTTACAGAATCACTTCCAACTTCCCCGGTGCGGCGGAGTCGCCGGGTCCTTTGACACCAAAGAGATCTTCTTCTTCGGTGAACTTCCCTCGAGATAACCCTTGAATCCAACGATATTAAGATGCAAGCCTGCTGGAGCAACCGTGTGGAATCCCCCTCCACACTCCCTTGAGTCCCCCCTCACAGGATCTTCTCCCTCTGTCAGACTTCACCCGTTCCTCACTCCCTTTCAAGCTTTCTCTTCAACTTTCCCCCACAAGAACAAAGCTACAATGGCTGCCAAAGACACTTACAAAGTGTCATGTCATAGCTTAAATAGAAGATCTCAAAACGAGCTCATTAATGCAAGTTGCCGACATTATCGTCCAGGACGATAGGCATATCGTCCTGTACGATCAATTCAAATTCAGCTCATCAGCCCGAGACAATTTGGGACGATCAGAAGAAAATTTGTTACATCGTCCTGGCCGATCTCACGATCGTCCAGGCCGATTAGTTTAAAACCGATTTAAATCATCCTGATCATTGCCCTGAATAAATTCTGGCTGATGTAAAACGTCTAGGCAATCATCCTGGCCGATCCTATGATTGTCCCGGATGATGTGATCATATCAATTAGCCATTAATGCTTTTCAAAGATACCAGATCAATTTAGACATAATTGAGTTAGATCGTCCTGGACGATGTACATATCATCCTGGCCGAATTCCTAAAATAATGAATACCTAATCTAATCATGGCGGCTGATTCTTACTGAATTGAGCTTATTGTCCTAGCCGATACACGTATCGTCCAGGCCGATCAGCTTATGACGGCTGCCTTAATGAGGATGCCCTAATTAGGGTTTCTTCTTTTGGATCGATCATCCAGGCCGATATAAATATCGTCCCGGACGATGTTACCAAAAATAGAAAACTTTAGGAAACAACAGAAAAATCTTCCAAGCTACAAAACATCAGGAGCCACACTAAATACAGTAGACTCAAGAAAGGAAAAAGTGTACAAACTGGCTCAGACCTGGTCCAACCAATCTTGAGCTGGTTCCAAATTGCAGTCTGATCATGTGGACCTGAAATGTCAGTACAAAAGGCAATCATAGAGAAAAAAGAATATTTGCTATCATCAAAATCATAAACCATAGATCCACAATATCATCTGAACTTCAATTTCAGCAAGCTTATAATCAAATTGAAAATCTCAATGAGATGAACCCAACAACTCCAATATCAATCCAATTCGAGCCCAAATGGGCCGAGGGCATGGGCCCAAAGCATACTTGGAAGGTTTAATGCATTAATTAGATTACAAAATGAACATCGAATATAACATGCTTA